CACCCCGTCCTCCTGGGGGACGCAGCCTCAGAGGGGCGCTCGCTCCCAGGCCCTCGGCTAAGAGGGCTGTCTGACCAGTCCCCTGCCGTCRGGGACCAGGCCCAAGGACCCCCAAGACCTCCTCCAGGTCTGGCCTTTTGTTTCCTTCTGCAGTCCTGGGATTGGGCCGGGGCCTCGCGCCTGCTTAGGCAGGTGCCCTGCCACCAGGTGACACCTCCAGCCCTTTTATCTCTTATTTGGAGCCAGGGTCTCACTTCAGGCTGGCCTAGAACTTGCGACCCCCTCCTCAGCCTTCGTGTGACTGGGGTCTGGCTCAGAGGTTCCGTCTCGGTGTGGACTCTGGCCTAGCAGCAGCGGCTTCCCCAGGGAACGTGACAGAAGTGCAAATTCCCGCTCCACCTGGACCTTCGGGGTCAGAGGCCCGGGTCAGAGGCCCAGCAACTGAGGCCCTGAGGGGGTCCTGCTGCCATGGGAAATCAAGGTCTGTGCTGTCAGAGTTTGCCAAGGCCCTGGTCACCCTCCCGGGACTCCATGTGGGGACCCATCTAACAGTCTTGGTGGCCTCCTGCCCCAGTGAAGGCCTGACTCATCCGTGGCTCCATTGAGGCTCCGAATGCCTTTTCTCCTAGACTCAGGCTGAATGTGTGTYCCCTGGTCACTCGGAGCCATCTGTCCTTTCCACCCAGCCAGTGAACCCCCACCCAGCACCCCCCCTGCTCCAACACCCTCACGAGACTCTTCCTCTTGGACTGACGGGTGTTGGCTTTTGGTTCCTGAAACCCCGACTACGGCCTCCTACCCACCCAATGGGTAGTTGCTGTGGGGCTCAGGGCTYTCAGTGTGTGTGCAGGGGCCATTTCCACCATGGGAGTGCAGCCAAGGGCCCCAAAGCCCCTTGGGACATGAAGAACAGGGTGCATGCCCTTCTTTTCTTCAGAAAATGACTCAGGGCCCTGCTCACATGTAATATTTATTTTTTGTTTGTTTACTTATTTTAGTAACTAGTAGAATTTAGTAACTTTTTTGTTTGTTTAGAATAAGTTGTCCTCAGGGATGGCTGGGAACCAAGCCATGACAATGATTCCAGGATTGGAAACAAGAATAGAGAAGTTTCAGAGGAAAAAGATTTTAGCTGGAAATGAACAAAGGGGCTGCCATGAGAGGTGGTGCGGGATGTTCACTGCACAAGGGTGACTAGTTGGAGGAGTCAGGAGGTGGCTGAGATCCAGAGAGAGGCCTGTGCCTCATGTCAAGCCTGATGCCCTAGGGCTGAGATATTTCTGTAGGGGAGAGGGGTGGTTATTTCTTATTCCACAGAGCAGCCTGTGCTCCAACCCCAGCACTCGGGGCTGGTACTACGCAGAAGGAGTATCTTTTAAAATTCACATCTTGTGGGTGCGGTGGCGCACGCCTGTAATTCCAATGGCTCAGGAGGCTGAGGCAGGAGGATCACGAATTCAAAGCCAGCCTCAGCAAAAGCGAGGTGCTAAGTCTCAGTGGGACCTGTCTCTAAATAAAATACAAAAAAAGGCTGGGGRTGTGGCTCAGTGGTGGAGTGCCCCCGAGTTCAATCTCCGGTATCCCCTCCACCCCCGCTGGCCCCTAGGTTCACATCTTACTGCCGTGAAGTTCCTCACCTCGKCACGTAGCTAGGAAGAGGCAGTGCCAGATGCAGACACTGGCGGACTGGCTACAGGGTCCTCGGGCCTCACCACCATGGGCCGTGCCTGAATGGCCTTCTCATGGATCAGTGGTGGGGACAGGGATGGGGGCACTTCCCCAAGGTGGGTGGAAACAGCCACCTGTTTCTCAGGAGGCTGCAGGCATCTGTGTTTGGAAATCCGAGCCTCCCTGGCCCAGGGAGAGGCCGGATGAGCAAGGTCCCCGCTGCTTCACCATCGGGGCTGGGAGAAGTGCTGTCCTGCTTATCCACCCTCCACCCTGTCAGGCTGTGTGCCAGCCCAGGCCTCAGTGGGACACCCTGCGTTCTGTCCTGACTCAGTCTTGACATGTTTTTTTGAGCATCTGCGGGCTGCTGTGAAGAAAGGGTGTCTGACCCCCAAAAGCAAAGCAGAGGGTGAGGTCAGGGAACGATGAAKCGCAAACTACAGGATTCAAAGTTCTCTTACCCCAGGGCTTCCAGCCTATTCTAAATGAAACCCGGACAGCCTTGGCCTCCAGCCTATGCCCMTTTCTCCCCCAGGGGGGAAGAAGCTAATTTCTTCGAGCACTTGCTCTCTCCTCTAAAAAAATACAAAAAGGGCTGGGGATGGGTCAGTGGTGGAGCCCCCTGACTCCCCTGGGCCCGCACTCGCCTCTGCCTCAAAGCAGACACTGCTCCTGCTCACGGGTGACAATGCGGGGCTCAGCAAGGGGAAGTGACCGGCCTCTGGCTGTGGGTGTGGGGCCAGCGCTGGTGGCCAGGCCTCCCACGCTCCTCCTATCCCCCTGCTTTCCTGRGTCCCTGGTGCACAGGCACCCATGCCACTTGGGGACCTTCCTCTCTGAGGACTACGGTGTCAGAAGAGAGCGGTCCAAGGAGGGTGGAAAGCAGGGCAAGGCATAGTCCTCATCCTCCTGCACGCCGTCACTCCAAAGCACACCCCTGGACATACAAGCCCCCACTTTGCTGCACACAGTGATGGCCCCATGCACACTCGCAGTGTCCTTGGGCTGCAAAGACTCCTCCATAAAGGACCGGGTGGAGCAGGGGCTGCTGGCAGATGGATGAATGGTTCTCCATCAACAGCGTGAGAGCTCAATCTCTGGCTGTCACTGCCTCCCGCCCCCAGACAGACACACAAGCACACGCACACACGTGCGCGCGCACACACACTGGAGCTGACAGCTGTTTCCTCCCTCAGCCTCACTCCTCCCCTCCCTCCGCCTGCCCTGCACCTCTGTCTGGCTGCTGCTAGGAGCCAAGTGCCTGCAGGGCTGGAATCCTGTGCTGCCTCTGTGCCCAGGTAAGGAGGCCACGGGCTGGGCAGCCTTAGTGCCCTCTCTGGACCCACAGGAGAGGGCAGAATTTTACCAGAACAGAGGGCTGCTACAGGATGGCAGAGGAGTGAGTTCACGAGATGTGAGGGAACTTGCTGCTCAGAGGGTGGAAGGAGTCAGCTTTCTCAGGCGTTAACTAGAGGCCAGGCGCAGTGGCAGTCGTTGACCTGGGGGAAGATGGCACCAGCAGGTTTGAGGTAACTGCCCAGGTTTGCCCAGCCTGGAAGCCAAGGAGCCTGGAATCAAGCCCAGGACTTGGACTCCCCAAACTTGTGTTCTTGGGCCCCTGCACCCCAGGACCCCAGCTGCTGGGACGGAGGATGGGGGCTGTCTCCATGCAGCCAGAGGGACCCAGGTAGATGGCTCCAGAGGGCCCAGCAGGACTGTGCTCTCCRAGCATCCCGTGGGACTCAGGCAAACATTAGGGCTGAGAGGGGATGGCATGCACCGGGTGCGCTGGGAGAAGAGTCCCAGCCCCTGCTGCAGCCGAGGACAGAGAAGCCACGCTTCTCTGCTAAATGGGGTCTCATGGGGTTATTGGGAGGTAACTGCAAACTAGAAAGCTTGGGAAGCAGCACCATTCTCAGGGCACCCAGGCTAGCTCCCTCCCCACCCACCTGCAGAGCTCAGCTTCAAGGGACCCATCTCCCAGGGAAAGTCTAGTGTGGATCCCAGGAGCCCAACCTGTGAAGAGCGGGATCCCTGGAGGGAGTGGATTTTCTCACCCTCTGCCATCCTAGCCGGCCAGGTGTTGGGCTGGGAAGAGGAGCACTGAAGGCCATTGCTCCCGTCTTTCTCTTCTTTCCTCCTTCGTCCCTGTCTTAGTGCCACACTGTTGCTCCTCTGYGTGGCTGTGCTGCTTGGGTGGATTGGCGAGTTTTTCAAACACTCCTGTCTCAGTTTCCTCATCTGGAAAGTGGCAGAGACAGAGCCTAGCACCTTTCTCTCAGAGCCATGAGAAAGATGGGCACCTATGCAAAGGACCTTCCAGGGTCCCTGGAGTGTCATGAGTGCCCAGCGCAACTGAGCTCCCATGCCCTGCTCTGTCCCCTCTCCGCGGCAGGGAGCCTCCACCCCAAGTCAACCCTCCTCGATCTCCATCAGCTTCACCCGAGTCTTCACCGGAGGGCTCTGGGATTCTCTGAGGCTGTGAGCATGTGTGGCTGGCTGTGAGCATGTGTGGCTGTGTGCTGTGTCTGTCAGATTCTGGCTTCTCCAGCGCTGGGTAGTGACTGGATAAATAGCTGCTGGGGGGTGTGTGGGTGAGTGAGAAAATGAACAGGGATGGGTTTCCTGGGATTGGTAGCATTGCTATGACTGCCCCTAGGAGGAGGGTTTGTTTGGTACCCTGGGGCCATCGGGTGGGTCCTTGTGCCCAGCTCTCTCTCCTCTTATCTCATTTCCTTTCCTACTATCAGAGGAGGGGCCAGCTCTGCTTTTTGCGGTCAACACACCCAGCCAGCCACCTCTGTGTGACCAACAGACTCTGGAGGACCTGCAGAGGCAAAGCCTGGGGTGCTGGGGAGGGCTGGTGGAGACTCTTCCTCCCACCCCCTTTCTCTAGGTGGCTGCAAAGCTCCTGCACCAWATGGGGGCTGTGTCCATCCACCAGTGCTCTGGGGCAGCAAAAAGGAATTCTGCAYGGCCTGACCTCCATTAACCACAGTTCTGTGGACCAGGCCTTTTTGCATATTACCTCATGAGTTTATTTTATTTTTATTCTGATAGCCCATGAGTTAGAGATAGTTATGAGGAACACCCACGTTACAGGGGAGGAAAYGGGCTCAGGAAAGTTCAATGACTTGCCCAAGGTCCCACAGGGAGCAGGTGGTGGAGCTGGGATGTTGGTCACTCCAACTTTGCTCAATGTCACTGGTCCCCAGTGGCCCCACCTATCACATTGGCAGGTCACCTTATCTCTTAGCAAGGTTCCCAGGGCTCTCTCTGGTTCCTAGGGTGTCCCAGCTCGGCCAGACTCAGCGTGTCCTTCTCYACCACAGAGCTCCGTCATGTTGGCCAACACCACCCTGAAGCCACTCTGTCCCATCTTGGAGCAGATGAGCCAACTCCAGAGCCACAGCAACTCCAGCATCCGCTTAATCGACCATGTGTCTGTGCTGCTGCACGGGGTGGCCTCGCTGCTGGGCCTGGTGGAGAATGGACTCATCCTCTTCGTAGTGGGYTGTCGCATGCGCCAGTCGGTGGTTACCACCTGGGTGCTGCACCTGGCGCTGTCTGACCTGTTGGCCGCTGCCTCCCTGCCCTTCTTCACTTACTTCCTGGCTGTGGGACACTCATGGGAGCTGGGCACCACCTTCTGCAAACTGCACTCTTCTATCTTCTTCCTCAACATGTTTGCTAGCGGCTTCCTGCTCAGCGCCATCAGCCTGGACCGCTGCCTGCAGGTGGTGCGGCCGGTGTGGGCGCAGAACCACCGCACGGTGGCCGTGGCCCACAAAGTCTGTCTGGTGCTCTGGGTCCTGGCTGTGTTCAACACCGTGCCCTATTTCGTGTTCCGGGACACCATCCCCCGGCTGGACGGGCGCATCATGTGCTACTACAACGTGCTGCTTGTGAACCCCGGGCCTGACCACGACACCACGTGCGACTCGCGCCAGACCGCCCTGGCGGTCAGCAAGTTCCTGCTGGCCTTCGTGGTGCCGCTGGCCATCATCGCCTCAAGCCATGCGGCTGTGAGCGTGCAGCTTCGCYACAGGGGCCGCCGGCGGCCGGGTCGCTTCGTGCGCTTGGTGGCGGCCATCGTGGCCGCCTTCGTGCTCTGCTGGGGGCCCTACCACATCTTCTGCCTGCTGGAGGCGCGGGCGCACTCAGTCCCTACGCTGCGGCCGCTTGTGTGGCGCGGGCTGCCCTTCGTCACCAGCCTGGCCTTTATCAACAGCGTGGTCAACCCGCTGCTCTACGTGCTCACCTGCCCCGACGTGGTGCGCAAGCTGCGGCGCTCGCTGCGCACAGTGCTGGAGAGCGTGTTGGTGGACGACAGCGACCTGGGCGGCTGGGCCGGCAGCCGCCGCCGTCGCGCCTCCTCCACCGCCACCTCGGCCTCCTCCCTCTCGCTCGCGGGCCGCCTCGCGCCCCCGCTCCGCCCCGGGCGGCTCCTCCGCTGGCTTCGAGGCAACAGCGCAGAGCCTTCGCAGAGGGACCGGGCACGATCCCAAGACGAAAGGGGACCACTGAACCGGGCGCTGAGCACCACCTCGGATTAGCCCAACGGCCTGCGCTGCCCGGAACTCAGGGCTCGGACCTGCTTTCTCCCCAAGGCAGAGGCAAGGCTCGAATYAAGCGTCAAGACTACCGCAAGGCCTCGTGAGCGCTCAGGAGTCAGCGTTTTGAAGCACCCTGAGTGACTTAAGTTTTTTCAGAAACGACCTGGTTGAAACCGGGCTTCTCAAACCTTGAAGTGCCTATAAGTCACCTGGGATCTTGTTAGTTTATTTCAGTGGGTGGGGCGGGGCGCGGAGATTCTGCTTTTCTAATACTTCCCAGGCAGTCACCAAGTGCTGCTGATCCAAGGACCACACTTGGAGTAACATGAGGCTAAACTCAAAAGACTTTTTAAGACTAGCAGACAGAGTCCCAATGGTACAACTCCCTGGAGCCCAATTTTACCAGCTGATGTGACTGTGGAAGGCTAGGGTAGGATAGTTGTACAAATTTTTGGAGTAAAATGAGAAAGGTTTGAGAAGCACCATTCCAGATTAAGGCCTTCAGGTTAGGTACTCAGCCAAGGTTTGAACTAGATGCTTTCTTCTGCAAATCTTCAGGATTAGCTTCATGGGGTTCAGGGAGCTTAACTGTGTTAACTCTGTTCACTCCATTCCTATTCTGAGAGCACATCTAAGACCTACCCAAGCTACTTAGTACTGTCCAGAGCCCCGGGGGTGCCATGGTCAAGTGCTTGGGAAACCTGGGCTAATCCAAGTCACTGTGCATTGTTATTGGAGGTCTAGCCTTTGGCATCTGAATGGACACAGCAATTCACAGCACATGACATTTTCTAGTGAACCTGACCATGGCATCCTGAGCCCTGGACAGGACTGGCATCCTACAAGATGCCCTTTGGACAGTTAATCCCAAGGTCTTTGCAGCACCTGCCACCTGCCCACATGGGGAATGGGGAGCATCACTTTCAATGGATGCACAGGTGGGGCAGCTTGTACCTCTGTGTAGCACTTCCACGGCATGGTCCCTAATGCCTCTGCCCACCACGGACTGGAGGGCAGACTGCTGTGCCTCAGTGCCGCACGCCAAGGACTGACAGCTGGTGCCAGCAAATATTTGTTTGGTTGGCGGAACATCAGTGGAAGAGCAGGGATGAGAAAGTCTTTGTGATCTTGGTCCATTACTCCTGACCACTGAAGGCCGGGGCCACCAAGGACCAGGGTGGCCAGCTGTTAATTCTGGGTGCCAGGCAGGGCAGCCCACAGCATGTGCACTGCAAACTGGATAGCCAGATGTCACCCTGTGTGGCCTCCTGCTCCTGCTGTTTCTCAGCACTTTTCACACCAGACACACCACACACTTGACTTGCTTACGTTTTTCCCATCAGAATAAAAGCTCCCGAGGGCAGGGAATTTTGTCTATATTCCCTGGTGCCCAGAATTGTACCTGTATACCAGAGGTATTCAATAAATACTTTTGTTGTAGACCAGATGGGCACGGCTTAGATCTGTGGGACTTCTGCAGTCTGGTATAGGAAAGGGGCTGCTAGAAACTGACTCTGCTTCCTGCAGTCTCCCCATTTTAAACCTTCAGTGTTCAAGTGGGGAGGAGCTGGATTCAGTTTGCTGGAGTTAGCGGGGTGCAGAAGTAGCCAAAGCAGCCTCTGGGAAGGTGTAAGGGACTTGGGTTCCTGATTGTTGGCCTCCAGGCATGAGCTGGACCCAAGACCCTCAGACAGGACACGTACTGCTAGGTCAATGAGAAAGCAGACTTTACTGTTCTTAGTCTGGAGGTTTTTGGAGGATGGGGAAGGAGAGAGGACTGGAACCTCTTCCCTCCCCTAGGCTCTGCCCCCAGAGACATGCTCAAGATCCCTCAAAGGCCCAAGAGTCCTGTCCAGGGTGGAATCCCTGTCTTGAGGCCACAGAGTTGGAGTGCTGGCTCCAGCAGAAGTGTCTGACTAGTGACCCGAGAGGCCAGATGGCCATGTCTGATGTGGTTGCTGGTCTTGGAGGGCCTTGGCTGTCCTGAGTTCAGACCTTGGCTGCTGGCCGCTGGGGTGGCTGTTTCTGCAGCAGGGCTAGCGTGTCCCGCTTCTGAATGGAGCGCAGCTGCTTCTTCTTTGCCCGCTTGAGCTTGGCAGGGTTTCGGATCTGGGGGTGGAAGGAGAGTCATCAGTGTGCTGGTAGGAGCTTCCCTGTCCCTGTGGGAGAGGGAAGCCACCCTGCAGGGGTCTGGGATCACAGCAGGAACAGACATGGGCAAGGCACCTCAAAGGCCTCACCTGGCCCAGCCATGTCTGCCTCAGCCAAGTAGCCGGGGGACACTTACCACTTGGACCACCTCAGCCTTCCGCTCGTTCTCCAGGCGTCGCCTCAGGTTCTCAGCCCGGCGCTGTTTCTTCTCCTGGAACACACAGGGGCACACGGGCAAGGGAATTGAGGTTGGGAGCTAAGGTGGCCCAGCAGAGTGAGGGCTGGTCAATTCCCAGTAAGTGGGGGAAGGACTCCCATCTGGGCTCCGTGCTGCTTCTGGTGGTGAGCATGGAACCTGGGGACCAATGGGAGGGCCAGGAGAGCAACATCGTGCCATGGGCCTGGCATCCAGACGCCCACTGTGCTGGAAAGTCTGAACCCCACATTAGAAGGAGGGTGCCTGGACAGACAGCTGAGAAAGGGCTTAGACAGGAGGACTGCCTCCCTCGCTGGAACTTTGCACATGCCTGGAACAGGCTGTTTACCAAACTGATCATCAGCTGTGAGGGAGGTGGATCCCCCATTCCCACCTTCCCAGGGTCTCCCTCTCCCCCGAGGCCTAAGTGCCACAAAATGTGAGGCCTGGGCTCTGTTGGTGTCCCCAGAGGTGGGGCTGGAAGAGCTGAGCTGCCCAGAAGAGGCTCTGAAGGATCTGGCCCAGGTTTGAGTCTTGACTGCTACTGGGGTTGGGACAGTCCAGTTCCAGAGCATGGGTCCTCCCTGGACACTGGAGGAAGACAGCTGTAGTTGCCAAGCCCCAAGTTCACTGCTTACTGCCTGTGTGACCCTGGGTGAGGTGGCCTCAGATAACTGCTAAACAGGTAAATGCCTCAACTCCCCCATATGGAAAGCAGGGCAGCCACAGTACCCTGCTCCTCAAGGTGAGTGGACGAGTGCATGCGCAGATTTTAGACAACAYCCTGCTGTGAGGACACTCACAACCTAGATGGGGTCTGTCCTGGAAATTAAGCCATGCCCTTGACTATGCAGAGGGTCCCCTGGAAGGCCCAGGAAGGGACATCAGCTCCCAGGCTGCTGCATGGTCAGGTGCCTCTCTTGGCTTTGTCAGCTTGGGGTAACAGGATGGCCTGGGCCCCTGGGGAGAAAGGAGAAGTGAGACTTGGGCTCCTGCGGTATCGGGGGAGGTATGGGCTGGGGCTGAGGAGAAGGCAGCCGTCTTGCTTAAGAGGGAGCCAGGGCTGCGCAGGAAGTGAGGTAAGACCTCAGCACTTGGAGGTAGCCACACTGTCCCTAGGGCCATGCCACAAGCTGACCTGGGCCAAATCAACAGGTAGGGTGAGTTATCTGACCCTGGATCAGTGCTTCTCCTGYACCCTGAGGTCACCCAATGGGCAGGATCCCCAATAACTCTGGTGTTGGGGGACAGCACTGCTGCCCAGTGCAGCCACCACCTGGCTTTTCTGGATGCTGCCCGTTGAGTGCCCTCTTCATCCCTACTGGGGAGAGGCCTTGGTGATGTGGGTGAAGCTGGGACCTTTTACTGCCTGGAGACTGAAGATGTGAGGTGTGAGCCTCTAATGGACATTCCTGGCTCTGGGATGAGTGACAGGTGTGGGGACTGTCCAAGTGCTGTTGTGTGGAAGTCACTTCTTGAATGACGCAGCAAAACTGGGGACAAGATTTTCCAATGTGTAGGCCTTTCCCTACTGAGCAGGTCCTGGGGAAGGGACCCTGATCACATCTCACTGGATGCTCCTACCACTGGTGAGGGCCTCCTGGGGTTTCTTTCTGGACTCTTGCACCCCACTTTAGAGCCTCCTGACCATCCTTGACCCACAGGCCCAGGCTGAGCTGGATGACTTATTGCACTTCCCCACCCTGAGGGTCGAAAGGGGGGCCCTGGGGCTCAAGGTCTCTGACTGTCGGCCTTGCCTGGCTCCTGCGTGCCTTACAGAGGCATGCATGCTCAGCCCCGGAGCTGCAGCCTTGCCTGGCTGGCCTCTCACCTGGCGGCGCTTCTCCTTCTCCTCCTGCAGGTGCCGGGCAAAGTCCTTGGTCAGTTTCCTTTCCTGTCGCTCCTTCATCTTCCGCTGCCAGGATGTGCGCAGGGGCTTGTCCTGAACCATCTGGGAGAACCTGGAGGGTTAAGCAGGGGCTTGTGGGACGTGGGGGTGACTACTCCTGCCCCACTGCCCTCACTCTGGGCTCTGGGCCTTCTTTTGCCGGGGGAGAACACCTGCAGTGATGGGCGCTTACTCCCTGATCGAGTTAAGCAGGGGGTGGCCGTCCTGCTTCCCAAGGTGAGGCTGGGCAGGTGCCTCTCCCCCTGGCTGGGACGCATGAAGGGAGTGGGCATTAGRGGATTTCAAGGAAGTCAGGACCTTCTGAACAGTGGCGATGTTTTTAGAGTCATAGGAGAAATGAACACTCTCCAAGGAGGCATCCTGTGGGAGCTCATGGGCTTTAAAACATTCTAGGGAAAACAGTGAGAGAAAACTGCCCAAGACAAAGGTCCTGAGGCCAATGAAACGCTGAGAAGTGTCAAAACTGGCCACGGGAACACGGGCTCATGACCCTATGCTCTCTCCAGGTCTGTGTGCTCAAAAATCTCCATCATAAAAAGCAAAACAAAGCGAGCCTCCCAGCTCAGTCCTCCTCCTGACACTATTCACTGTCCCTCGGGCTGACTGGCACTTTTCCTTTTATCCCCAAGGCTCCTCTGCAGAGCCTCACAGTGGCCTTCCTGCTCCCTGACCAAAGTCTTCTGAAAGAGTTCCCGTTTCCCCACGTCCACTGTAGTGTGCCCCAAACTGTTCCAGCCTCTGAAGGCCCATGTACATGCTGGGCATAGTCCACTCCTGTCCACGGGAAGGGTCAATACAGTTCTTCTGGACCATTCTCTCCCCTTCCACAGAGTCGGGCACATGTATCCCAGAACTCGACTCCAGGCCCCTCCATGCAGAGCCTTCTCACTGCAGTGCCAGCCTCTGGCCCCAGCACACCCTCTCCCGCTCCCTCTCCCAGGCCCAGGGCCTGCTGTTCTGTGCGCACTGCCTGGGCTCCTCCCTGGTCTTAAAGCTGGGCTTTCCAAACTCGGGTATGAGAATCCTGAAAGGATAAGGTGGGGGGATCCTGGAGTCACCAGAGCCACAGGACACAGTGGTGTTTGGGGAACTTTCTGGGATGGGGGAAATGCTYCACACCTGTGCCGTCCAGTATGGGAGCCTCCACTCACAGGGCTGCACAGCACCTGCATAGCTTGGGGTTAAGAAAGTAAATGTAGATTTCATTCAACTTTACTTTAAATAGTTATATGTGGCTGATGGCTTGTGGGTTGGGTCAGTCTATTTCAGAGCATGGGTCCTACCTGGACACTGGAGGACAGGCCAGCTGCCAAGCCCCAAGTTCACTGCTTACTGCCTGTGTGACCCTGGGTGAGGTGGCCTCTGAGACTTCATTCTCCCACACGGAGATGAGCATTGTGCCCTGAGCGTGTAATGGAAGTCAGCTGGGGCCACTGACCTCCTTCCCTGCTCTACCTGCTCCTCTTTCCCCTGTGCTGGGCCCACCCACTCCTGCTCAGTAAGCTCACCCTCTCCCAGGGGTGGCCCCAGTGCCAGGACCCCAGTTCCTCAAGCTCGACTTGCTCATCACCCTCTTCCCACTGCAACCAACCTCCTCATCTGGTTCTGTGTGGCCATCAGTGGCCCCTGTCATTCTCCTAGACTTTCTGGGACAGGGAGGTGGGGCAGTACCACCAGCCACTTCTCCAATCCTCCAGCTTCAAAGCCTGTCTGACTGTCCACGACTCATTTAGCCTCAGTTTCCACAGACATAAAACAGGAGTGAAAATGACACCYGCTCCATAGGGCCAAGGTACAGATTAAATGCCATGACAGGATGTCTGTGTTTGAAAGGCTCTTCCCCAGCCAAGCCCCTCGGAAGAGCACACTGTCCTATATAATCAGGGCTTGGTGATTTTTTTTTTTTATCCTAGGYGCAAATAACTGTAACAGATGACAATGGGCGAAGACTTCACTGCTTTTATCAAGTAATGGCTGGTTTACTTGCGTCTGCCTCCCTACTGGAGATGGTGGACAATGGGAAATGTCTGTTAAATGAATATGGGACTTAGGTGATTGCTATAGGGGAGATCCATAAGGACCCCGGGAAAGAAACCATGAAAATGACCTYTGAGGGCCTGGTCTCACCCTCCTGGGATCTCAAGCATTTTT